ATTTTCTCTACTTACACTACATTTAGTGGTCAGGTATGGCTGCATGGTCATGGCATGTTTGACCATTAGCTGGGGCCTGATTTTGCTGAATAAGAACAAAGTGGTTATGCAAGCAACCAAGCGACCAGAATTCACACCTTTGTTGTCAGAATCTGCAAAAGATTAGAAAATACATAAAGGATATTAAGTCCAAGTAATCTTTGAGCAATGAAAAACATATATCTTAAACATCATTTGAATACCTCTTTCATTACATCTCTTTCAAGATCAATACAGAATATTCTTATTAGAGATGAGAATGTAATGTGTTAACATTTGTATGTGATCACAAAATATGTGAAAAAAGAAGCAAAGATGCTTCAAAGATATCACTAGTTTTTAAACTACTTACTGTACACACAACACCGACCCAACCAATGATTCCTATTACAACTGTAGAATATACTAATGTGAATAAAACTTGCCACATTTGTTTTGGTTTTAGTGATCCAAAAGTTTGAACAAGTTATTTCAAAAGTAGTTCTGTTATTGTGGTTAGCTAGTGAAAATTAGGGAAGCTTTATTACAATACAGTGCTCAAAAGTTCATAATGAACTTAAAAGCAACAATTCATTACCATCAGTTTTGTAACAGGAATTCTGTAACAGTGTCTTTGCCTGACAGTAATTTGAACAACCACTGTTACAGTATCATATAAAATTCACAGGAGTTTAGCTACTGGGTTGTAAATAATATTACCTGATAAAGATTCCTCATATTTAAGAATGTGCTCAACCAAATTGTCAACAAGTTGAGTACAGGCTTTCTTCACAGGTTTATATGAAGCATCTTCTTCTGACTTCAACAGCTGTAGCAGATAAAACAGAAAATTATTTAGTATTAAGGGTTCATTCGTTTACATTGCATACATGCTGGTTTTATAACAATTACTACAGATACACAACGAGTTTACACTACAAAAGTATTTATTTAACTTCTGCATAGAAGTTACATGGTGAAGAAAAAGTTAAGGGAAGTAAAAAATCAAACCAAAATGCAAGAGAAGTAAAGAAAAATTAACCGCAATAAAACCCCAGAAAAGTTCTACTGATTTTTGCATTGGGATTAAAGCTAACTTTGTGTTTAATGAAATAATGTAGAAAAAAATAATGCAGTCATACTTGCCAGCAGTAACTAATAGGAGTTGGAAGGCTTTTAAAATGCTTAGGAAAAAAAAGAGCACATTCGAAAGGAATGGTTTCTTTGACCCTAAGCAAAAATATCAAATGAAGATGAAACATAGTTTTATGAACATTTTAATCAGTTAGCCTTCTTCCATATGACTTTGAGCACTGAAATGATGTCCATGAAGATCCTTTAACATCTAAGAAGGATTGAGACTGTACTATAGCTTTTTCTTCAGTGCAGGCATTAAAAGGTTCTGGTTTACTTGGCTACCTATTTTCATGGCACTCCAGGCTAAAGTAAAATCAAAAGGATTTTTTTTTCTTGAAAATTAACCAGTGCATACAAGATGCAGAGGAGAATGATAACACAGGTTAAGAAACATAAACAAACAAGCTCAATTCTTAGAAAAATCAGAGGAAAATATAATGTAGAAGTAACCTATACTCTGAAGATTCACTGCTTCTATAAACCGTGTAACAAAGATATTGGATGTGAACACTTATCTACCATTTAAAAAATCTACATTACACTAGATGCCTCATTTCAGAATCAAGTATCTTAGCTGTGGACTTCACGTTATGTCACTCATTACTGAAGACACTATGAAATTAAAAACAAACAAAACAAAACCCCTCCCAAAACCAAGTGAAGTAATTTAAAAACAGATCATATGGAAAAACAAAAACTAATGTCAGAGACAAAGAATTCACCAATGAAGATTAAAAAAAAGTCAGATGTTTAAAGGGCATGAATTGAATTTGTCTACTGTAAAAGGATTGCTCTTGTAGTCACCCTTCTATGTGTTTTAGAATCATAGAATCATAGAATCGTTAAGATTGGAAAAGACCTTTAAGATCATTGAGTCCAACCATTAACCTATCACTACGAAGTCCACCACTATACCATGTCCTTGTATAATACCTCCTTTTAGTACCAAAAGAAATGTTAAAATTCTACCAATGATTGTACCATACATTTGAAATTCATTACTTACATTTTGAAGAAGCTGTTCAAACCAGTCATACCCTGTATCTCTACAAGCCGCAACCTGGAAGTATTTTTGAGAATATACTAGTTAATAAAAAAGGCATCCGAGGAAAAATTACTTCAAGACAGATGTCATCTTAAAAGACCAGTAAATATGCATAGATATATTTTCATACGCATTCAGTACAACGATTTTATATCTTTGGAGATTAGAAACTGTCTTCTGTGTTTGAAAAATAGTTCTCACCATTTAAGTGACTCCAGAATTTGTATTCCATACAACACAAAGCCTACACATTTTACTGGAGATTGCTGGCTCTAATGTAAACAAAGTTTTGGTTTTGTAGAACATTTTGCGCAGATTAAAGCACAAATACAAGCCTGACATATTAAAAATGAACATGTGTGTGTATATATATATATGTGTATACATATTTTTATATAAACAAACCAAGCCTTCGCTGGTATCATATGTAAGGAACAGCTCACAGGTGCTCCAAAGTAGAATTGGCAGGAGAACTGAGAGTTAAGCTGAAGTCAAATTGACTGACTTCTCAGTCTGGAAAAATGCACAGTAGACCACCATTTTGTAAAAATATTGAAATGCAGGATGAAGTTTAAACCCATAATTGTAAGTAATGAAACGAGTACTTTTATTTTATATTAACATCGTGGTGTAATTGATATTAAAACACCTTCTCAGCACAGTGGTTTTACACAACACATTCTCACTACAAATTAAAGCATTTTATTTGAAACAGATTTTGTTATTTTGGAGACATGCCATTTAATTTGCTGCTCCTACAAAGAAGACACAATTATGCAGATAGTAGTTTACCCTGAGCAAGAACATGACCCTGTATTTGTCAAAACGGCTTATTAACCTTTCAAAATAAATGTTATCAATTGTTTGAGGAAAATTTTCTTTTTAAGGGACAACTTCTTAGTTAGGCTTAACTATATGCTGCTACTAGCAATTCCTGGAAAATGTTAAATATAATAGAAATTCGTTGTGTTTTAACTGAACAAGTACTTTATTCAGCCTGAATATAATTTGGTCCCAGTTATCATTGTCAGCAGATTAGTGAGCATTTAAAGTTTCCTACAGCCTGTTCCATGAGATGAATGATTTTGGAATGTATTCAGTGCTGTGAGATATAAAAAGAAAACCACCTGACAATTAAATTACTGTATTCTAAAAAACTACAGACAATATTTCAAAGATATTAAAACATAATCAAATTTTGCACACAACTTAACTCAAATTTGTTTTAACATACCACATCAGTGATGTTTAGTATTTTCCTTGTCATTGCTTCTTTGTCATGGTGTGGAGTTGGAGTAAACCAGAGCTTCTGGAATGTCTCATTTACTAATTTCTGAAGGCAAAAAAAATATTAGCAGAAATAAACAAACTTATCTTGGCACACAGGCATTACTTCTAATACATCCATACCAGACATTTGTTGATGATGCACGCCATTTCATAAGCAATTGTTCAGCCTAAGTGAGACCCTTATAGGAAATGTTATCTGACACAGACCCAGATCTACTACTACAGGACTCATACTGACCTCAAAGCAAGCCTCAGCAAAATGATCACTGGGAACTGATGGTACAGAAGATGGAATTACCACCTTCCTGCATTAATTTGCATTCCTCAGGAAAACACAGTAGCCTGAGAAGCTGACAACGGAACACATGATTATGATTTCTTCAGCAGAACTAGCACCAATGGTAGGTTACTTTAAAAAGTAACCTTTTTTTTTCAGTTTTCAAAACAGCTGTGACAACGTGGGAAAGAGAGAGAAGCCAAGTCTCTCTACTAAACACTGGAGGTATGTTCCCTTACAATGTTTTTGGATGGAGGAAAAAATGGAATAGAATGGAAGTGAACAAAATTATTCCCAAATTACTTATAAGGCATATGGTTCTAAGAAGCTCTCCTCATTCATGGAAACATAAAAAATACATTGAAAATAATGCCTCATTTTTTCTGATGATGTTAGAAAGGCAAGGGGAAGGAGGAGAGAGAACAAAGTTGTCCTCCTTTCCCAGCAGCACCTTGGATTCAGCTGTTCATCTACTTCTTGATTAATGGTCTCCTCAGAAAACCACTTGGCATTAACATATCTCAAGGGGTAAAAATATAAGCTGCAGCTTTAAAGTTGCAGATTTCAAATCCTACTGAACACGTGATACAAAATTATTACACATATATTCTTAATTACCCAACAATTTTAAAATTATTTTGCCAAATCAGACAAACCCATCATTGCCACATTAATGACTTAAGACATAATCTTAGTTTTGTGCCCTTCTGCATATACACTGCACAAAGAGTAGTGTTAGATCACGTAAGTAACATTTTAGGGGGAATAACTGATTCATTGAATATTCAGAATTAATGCAAAATTAGCACAGATTATTACTTTACAGTTTTTATATGCAGAACTTACAAATCTGGCATGTATTAATGTCCAGTACTTAATTTTGACTTAAAGGTTATTTTGTTTGCAGAAACAGTTTTATATGCCAATTTTACTTCTTAGAAAAGAGAAGTACCAGAGACAACACTTGCAAGAAGAAAAAAAAACCTCTAGAAAATAACTTTTTAAAGTCTTTTGATTGTCAGCAAGAACTTAAAGAAAATAGAAGATAGACAAGAAAAACAAGTCAGAGAGCATTTTAGAAAGCTAAGATATGTGCTCTCAAAAATTCGAAGTGAATAAAAGTTCACTTTTAATATAATAATTTTTAATAATAAATATTATTTTTATAATATTTTAAATAATAAATATTACAGAGGAGCAGTGCAATACTTTTTTGACTTTTGTCAAAATACAGAAACACTAAAATAATGATAATTAAAATCCTGAAGGCA